TCCAGCTATACCATGATACTCCACCGTATAAACGCCATGGTATGTTCCGGTAAGTGTGATTACTATACGCATACACTCTAATATGTACATGGTTCGCGTGTAACTCAGATGAGACCGTGATTTGAGTAGTTCACGGTAACAAAAACACGGTAAGCCACTTCCACGGTAACCGAGTCCAAACCCGGAGAGCAAAGCCGTTACCGTGCAGTGTTTGTGTTCGAGTCCGGGCTCTTACCGATCGCACATGTGGAGTAAATGTCCAGCAGCAGCAGCACATACGAGCTCATGATGCTCCGTCCGTTCACCGTCATCCCGAACACCGCCGCCGCCGCACTTCCGGCTTCCGCTCACATAAAAGTCCCCGCGGCGACTAAATCACGTTACTTCAGAATAAAAGTCCTACCACGCACACTTTTGCTTTAAGTTACTGGATAATATCTAACTAGCTCCAAAGATTATGTGAATTTTGTAAAACCGAGAAAGAAACTTTGCTTCATTCATTTTAGCATTGTAAAAAAAATAATAAAATAAAATAAACTTTTCGCTGAATCATATATTTTTCTGCCATTAAGCATGCTGTTGAATTTCTTTGTATTCATTAATTTGGTAACAATAAAATAATAATCAGAAATGTTTCTTGAGCAGTAAAGCAGCATATTATACTGATTTCTGAAGATCATGTGACACTGAAGACTGGAGGAATGATGCTGAAAATACAGCTGCGCATCACAGAAATACATTACAGTTTAACACATATTCACATAGAAAACAGCTGTTTTACATTCTAATAATACTTCACATTTTTTACAGTATTTTTGATCAAATAAATGCAGCCTTGCTGAGCAGAAGATACTTCTTTAAAACATCGTACTGTTTAAAAACTTTTGACGGGTAGTGTATTTGATAAAGCTTCCAAATGGACAAATGATAAACATGATGGTGATTCTTCGAGTCTTTATTGCAAACCTTCAGAACTCCGACACCAAACCATCATTTAACAGCCAACTAACACAACACAGAACATCCGTCCCGTCTCCAGCCGCTCCTCTCAGAAGTCCTCCTCGGCGCAGCGGCAGCGGGACAGTCTGAGGAGCGTCAGTCTCTGCATCACCTCCTCCACGCTCTGCTCTCCGTGCACCTTGTTGTCTCTGGTTCTCACGTTCACACTGTTAGCGGCGCGCTCCTTCTCGCCCACCACTGCCCAACAAACACATATCAGAGCGTGCACTCGAGAGCGGAGCGTCAGACTCACTCAGACGCTCGCTGCTTACCCAGGATGAAGTTATACTGCGCCAGCTGCGCGCTGCGGATCTTCTTGTTCAGAAGACAACCAGAGTCCAAATCAGCATCGGCCATAAAACCAGCTTCAACAAACCGCTCACAGACCTGGAGCGGGAGGAAGAGCAAGCAAGTTACTCTCACGAAACATGAGCTCAATAATGACACTACTGTCTTTTCAGAGCTGCTTGACCCGCAGAATCCACATTTGTCTCATATTTGTGACCCTGGACCACAAAACCAGTCTTAAGTGTCAATCTGAAAGCTGAATAAATAATCTCTCCATTGATGTATGGTTTGTTAGGATAGCACAATATTTGAAAATCTGGAATCTGAGGGTGCAAAAAAATCTAAATATTGAGAAAATCATCTTTAAAGTTGTTCAAATGAAGTTCTTAGCAATGCATATTACTAATCAAACATTTAGTTTTGATATATTTACGGTAGGACATTTACTAAATATCTTCATGGAACATGATCTTTACTTAATATCCTAATGATTTTTGGCATAAAAGAGAAATGTGTAATTGTGACCCATACAATGTATTGTTGGCTATTGCTACAAATATCCATAAATAAGCTTTTGTGCTGCAGGGACACATTTGATGAAGTTTGCAATGCAAGAATAGCAGAATAGCTTTAAAAATCCTCTACTAAAACATTTTTGTTCCTGGTTAGACACACACTGATCTCAGGACTGATTTGAGCAGGTTGCATTGCTTCTCTAAATCATAAATAATCTACTAGATAAATCTGTGTATTTGCTCTAATAATTATTACATCTCAGTTATCTCGGTAATAATAAGTACAACCAGAACTTCATCAGTGCATGGTACACTCTCAGAAAAAAAAGGTACAACAGTTGTCACTGGGGCGGTACCTTTTCAAAAGGCACACCTTTGTACCTAAAGAGTCTGTATTGGTACCTAAAAGGTACAAAAGTGTACCTTTTGAAAAAGTACCGCCCCAGTGACAGCTTTTGTACCTTTTTTTCTGAGAGTGTATTATAAAGATGTACATGCACATTATGGAATCATGTTTTTCTCATCCTCCGAAACAACTTGTCTTTAACATGTTTCACAACCGGTCAGATCTCCACAGTCTCTGTTGTTCAGTGACTGATCTCAGAGCAGATGTTGTACCTGTTTGGCGTATTCTTCAAGAGACGGGTTCACAGGCACCAGCATCACCTGACGTGGAGACAACCACAGCGGCCTGACCACACACACGCACACACACGCACACACACACACACACAGACACACACAGAGACACAGAGACACACACACGCGCGCAGACACAGACACAGACACAGACACACACACACACACAGACAGACAGACAGACAGACAGACAGACAGACAGACAGACAGACAGACACACAGACACACACAGAGACACAGAGACACACACACGCGCGCAGACACAGACACAGACACAGACACACGCGCACACGCGCACACAGACACAGACACAGACACAGACGCACGCACACAGACACAGACACAGACACAGACACGCACACGCACAGACACACGCACGCACGCACGCACACAGATACAGACACAGACACAGACACAGACACACACAGACACACACACACAGATGCACTCACGCACACACAGAAAAACACAAAAAAACACACAGCTTAATGACACCAAGTGTCAACTACATCTCATTACATATGCAAAGAGGTTGGCCAATCGCAGCAGACTTAAGATATTAACATATAAAAGTTTTAAAGACACAGCAGCAAAATTAGCCTTTAATGTAACAGTGATTAAAGGTTAAGAGAGACCATTATAAATGGCTGCAAAAACTAAATTGTTTTGAAAAATTTATTTTTTAAAGTTTTAGTAATTTTGTTATGTGCTTTCTTTCATGTTAGTTTTTGCCTTTTAAAATAAGTCAATTTAGTGTCATTTTTATCTCAGTTTTAGTTTTAGTCATTTTAGTGCTTCAGCTTATTTTGCTGCTTCTGGTGCCTTCAAAATAAAAGTCCTATTAAATTTCATATAATGCCCCTATTAAACATCCCCAAATAACATGAATGTTGAATGTGCTTTAAAGAATAAGACAATTATAATTTTTTTGCCTTTCTTTTCCATAATATGTTATTTAATATGTTAAATAATATATATTTATAAAGCGGAGAGTTCCGGTGCTTGACTCTGATTGGCTGAGCCGTGTTCGAAGCTGTTGTAAATGACGCTACAAAGTAACACACACCTTTGTTTACGTCTGTGTGTTGCTCGGCAACCACTTTGTAGCAACCACAACTGTTTCTGAGGAGCTACATTGTTTGGTGGAAGAATACTGTGTTTATTAATATCATTACACTTTATTTGCTCTGTTTTATTTTGTGAAACCTTACTACGTATATGGAATAACCGTGTTTTATAAAAGCAGTAACCCCCGTGAAGCCGTGGTTTACAGTGAATTTATAACAGCTAAGCTAACAACGCCCCTTAACTGTTATAAATGAAATCTTTACTATCAACCGACTGTTTTAAATCAGATGTAACACTTGATTATTTCCTCAACACAGAATATATGACAGCACCCGACCCGAACCACTCAAATATCACAGCTACTACAATAAACCTAGTATTAATCACCATTCATCAAAATGATTTCATTCATTACAAACGCCTCTTAATTAATGTGAAGGAGATCTGTAAAAACTACTATAGTATTTGGCGATTTTCTCAACTTTATTTCAATTACCGAAATCGATTTCTTAGTTTTCGTTCAGAGTAACGGAAAGGGTTTGTGCTCCTCACCATTTCCCGGCGTAGTTCTCGGTGAGGATGGCGATCATTCTCTCCACGGAGCCCAGGATGGCGCGGTGAATGATCACGGGTCGGTCCTTGTCATCGCCGTCTCTCCTGCAGCGGTTCAGACGATTAAACTCGGATTCACAGCCGTGTGAGCGTTCACAGCCGATCTGAGCTCTACTCACCCCACATACGTCAGGTTGAAGCGGACGGGAAGCTGGAAATCCAGCTGAATCGTGGCACACTGGTGATAACGGCCGATGGCGTCTTTAATCTTAATGTCAATCTACAACACAAGAGATGAGTATTATTCCTGCAGAACAGCTTGAGATGATTCATGGTTTGGGTTTTAAAAAAAACCCAGAATAACATGAAATCTATCTATCTGTCTTTGTGACCCTGGAGCACAAAACCAGTCGTAAGGGTCCATTTTTGGAAATTGAGATTTATGCATCAGCTGAAAGCTGAATAAATGAGCTTTCCATTGATGTATGGTTTGTTAGGATAGCACAATATTTGAAAATCTGGAATCTGAGGGTGCAAAAAAATCTAAATATTGAGAAAATCATCTTTAAAGTTGTTCAAATGAAGTTCTTAGCAATGCATATTACTAATCAAACATTAAGTTTTGATATATTTACAGTAGGACATTTACTAAATATCTTCATGGAACATGATCTTTACTTAATATCCTAATGATTTTTGGCATAAAAGAGAAATGTATAATTGTGACCCATACAATGTATTGTTGGCTATTGCTACAAATATCCCCCAGCGACTCAACACTGCTTTTGTGCTGCAGGCTCACATTTATATAAAATTAGCTTTTATTTGTATATTTATTCATTTTAATTTTAGCAATTTTATTATATGCTTTTGTAATTTAAAAAAAAAATATATTTCTATTTAACTTTAATTCAGTTTAGTTTTTTAATCTAATATTTATATTATATTTTATTTCATCTTTGAATATGTTCTCAAAAACCAAAAAAGCCAAATGTGTGAAACTATGGCGATTCTACAAAATACTGATAAATAATATCCAATACAATTCTTTCCAACATATTTTAATATTTTTCAATACATAATCAATATAGAATTTTCCTATATATATATATATATATGTGTGTGTGTGTGTATATATATGTATGTGAGTGTGTGTGTATATATATATGTATGTGTGTGTGTGTGTGTATTCAGGCTGTTCTCTAGTTGCTATGAAATAATAAAAACTCAGTTAATACTGCACAAAAACAAACAGCTCAAATGTTAAAGACAGCAGGAAAAATGCTATTCTGGAACCTTCTCGGCTTGATTCCACACAGCAATATCGCCCAGAAACTTCTCCGGACGCGTGGAGAGATGCAGCTGGAAGGAGAAGCCGAAGACATCGTAGACGCAGCGCAAGAAATCCAGACAGCCCTTCATCTCCGACTCGATCTGAAACACAACGAGCAAACAATTAGGTTCTGTCTCTATAAAGATCTAAATCAGCTGTTGAGGTCTTCATTAAAGGCATTACGGGTAATTGTGGGATTCGAGTAGATCAAGCTTTTTTTTTATTAATTTCATTAGTTCTATAAATAAAAATTAACCTAATTCAAAATATTCTAGTATCTCAAAGATTCTAAAGGAGCGCTGCACCTGATCCATAGTGCAGAAAATATGAGCGTCGTCCTGCTGGAAGCGCCGGACTCTCGTGAGGCCTGTCAGCGTCCCTGAGAGCTCGTTACGATGCAACACGCCGAAATCAGCCAATCTGAGAGGAAGCTCACGCCAGGAGCGCGGCCGGTGACCGAACATCAGACTGACAGACAGAGAAAGAGGAGGAGAGATGAAGGACATAAACAAGCAGATAGATAACAATAGATTCAAAACAAGAATACTGCATGAGCAGAGAGAGAATATTAGTCAGTCAGTAAACACCCAAACTACGGTGATACTACAAAACACTGCTAAATAATATACTAAATAATATCCAATGCAACTTATTTTAATACAATATATAATATTGTATCTTCAATATATAATCAATATATCATTTTCAACATTTTTTTAATACAACAAAATATGTATATCTTTATCTAGTTTGTCAGTAATCTTGTATTTTAATCATTTTTTCAATGATTTTCAGCTTCAGTCGGACATTATAACTTGTGATTCAGTGAGTCATTTGAGCCCTGATTCAGACTGAGTTTGATCCAGACTGCTTCAACAATCAGTTCAACGAAGAATTGTACCAATTAAATGATATGTTTGATAATCAGACAGCATATTATGCTATATTGCACTGTAAAGAAAAAATGGTGCCGACCATTTATTGTCAATATATGATTTCATAGCATCCATTTTTGTCTTTAAAGCATGACAATACAGGAAACCCAGTGTTATTTCATGCACTGGTCAATTTTGAGATTTTAGTCTATTTTGCTTCCATAACATGTCTTCATTCAGACTAGTGGGGAAAAAAACATCCAAAATACACTTTGAGTGTTTGTTTTATTGCAGTTTATCTATTCGCGAATTCTTACCTTTAAAGGTTTTTTCTCCACTTCAGCAGCACTTGCATACACCAAAACTTAGAGATGTATTCCTCTCTATATTCTGAAGGCTTTTACTGAGGGGTTTGTTTATATATTCATCACACGGATTTATACAACATCTTATTCCTAAAAACATGGTGAAAATGCATATATTTAAAGGCTGTGAGTTTGTTTCTCCACTTCAGCAGCACTTACAAACACCAAAACTTAGAGATGTATTCCTCTCTATATTCTGAAGGCTTTTACTGAGGGGTTTGTTCATATATAATTCACTTGGTCTTATTATTGCACTTTATCTATTAGCGTATGTAGATTTTTAATTGCAATTCTTACCTTTAAAAGTTTTTTCTCCACTTCAGCAGCACTTACAAACACCAAAACTTAGAGATTTATTCCCCTCTATTTTCTGAAGGTTTTTACTGAGGGGTTTGTTTATATATTCATCACACGGATTTATACAATATTTTATTCCTAAAAACATGGTGAAAATGCGTTTTTATCTGTCTGTTGACAGCATTTTCTGATTTCTGGAGTGATAAAAGTGAAATCCAAAATCCACTCTGGAAAAACCTTTAACTCTAATATGGCAACAAAATCAAACAGGAGTTTTCAACCTGGCTTTATCCAATGTCTAGATGCGAATGAATGCATATTTAACTAGATAATGCATCATATTTAAACATAAGATTTCAGAAAACTCTGTCTTAATGTACTGTTATTAATCAACTGGGGAAATATGGTGAGCTCTATTAGTTAACATTTTCACCCTGTTCACCTGTAGTGTCCTGCCTTTAGAGATTAAATCTAGTCCAGCACAGAGTTGTGGTTTACCAGTGTCCGGGGCAGTTCATGGGCTTCAGAGCAAAGACGTCCTGCTCAACGGGGAAGGAGAACATGTTTTCACTGTAATGCTGCCAGTGACCCGAGGTCTCCCACAGTTTGCTGTTATAGATGTTTGGAGACGCCACCTCCTGAAAGCCGCGTCTGCTGTATTCCTCCTGCACGCACACACACACACACACACACACATGCACACGCGAACACACAAACACACACACACATCATTAACGGCTCTGTGGGATTCAGCGTTTGACTGTGCTTTGGTTTGAGCTCGTATGCTGACGTACCCTGATGAACTCCGTCAACGTGTTGTAGATATAAGCTCCTCGCGGCAGAAAGAAGCAGCTTCCTGGACTCAGATCGTGGAAGAAGAAAAGTTCTTGATCCTGCAAATCACACCACGAGAGAGCGAGATCTTAACAAGCTCCTTCAGTCACACACGAGGAGGAAGTGACATGCGTCGCTCCACGGGAGGTGAAGAGACACGTCTGATTGGACAAACTGGCTCCAATTTAAAACAACCACAGTAGCTACAGTACAAGATAATGCACTATAAACCATATGGCACGGCTGTTATATGCAGTATAGAAGATTTTAATGAGAGAACTCGAGTAAAGAGGGATAAAAAAGCAAAATCCGTTAGTTTTGTGTAATTAGGAGCTTTCAGCTGAACAGAACAAGACGGACCCCAACTGACCCTCACAGGAGCCGAGAAACACAGTAAGAGACGCACGTCACACGGAAATATTTTTTAAAAAGCCGTTCAAGATGAAATAATTTGAACACCTCATTCTGAAATCAAAATTATGAAAACGAACTACGTTTTTGCATTTTCCGAACAAAATTAATTTTGCATTTCTTTTTAAAATTAAAATAAATATTTTAAAAATAAAACACTTACTAATAATTAAGTCATAAAAAATGTCAGACAAATAATTTTAAAATAAAACAATTTCTAATAAATATTTTTTTATAAAATACTAATAATACTAATTAAATAATACAATTATATTTTATTAAATTTTAAAATAAAAATCTAAATCATTTTCATAAATATATTAAAAAATCTAAATAAAACACTTATTCGAATTAACAATTTTATCTATATAATTAATAATGATCAAATAATTAATTATTAAGTCATAAAATGACATTAAAATGTTTTAAAATAAAATAAAAATAGAACACTTACTAACAATTAATTAAAATCCTAAAAATGTCCAATTAAAATAAAGAATTTTTTAAATAAAACACTTTATTTTAAAATAAGATTAAATATTTCACGCGTTTATCTGCTTGTCATATGACCATTATCCGACATCACAGAACAGGAACATGTGAACGTGTTGTTAAATTACTGAAATATATTGACTTAAATTAATCTCAGAATGACTTCAAGTAAATATTTGAGCTCAAAGGGGTTCAGCTGATGAAAGAGTTTCAGTATAAACCAGAGGGAATCATTTATTCCAGCTCTGACTCTCACACACCTTCCCAATCTTGCGATGGTCTCTGTTTTTAGCCTCTTCCTGGAAACGTTCCCATTCCTTCAGCATTTTGCTGTCAGGAAAAGAAATCCCGTAGATCCGCTGAAGCGTCTCCATGTCCGAATGTCCTTCCCAGTACGTGGATGAATTCTGAACAACATCACAATATCACATTAATATCACCCTATAAAGCCATTTTCATGCAGAACTGCAGCTCTAAAGCATCTGTACTTGCATTTGGACAAATAAGGGTTTAAGCATAAAAACAATAAGTGTATTACTACTTTAAATTGTTGTTGTTTTTCCCAAAAAAATTTAAAAAGTTTTCTGTTTAATTTAATTGCAATTTTGTTTTTGTTTTTCCGATCAAAAAATAAATATAATACATTTTTCCCTGATTTACAGAAGACGCCCACTAAAATGTCATTCAGTGTAACAATCTCGTCAGGCACATTTACAACAAAAATCTATTTATGACATTAAAAGACTAATTACTTTCACCCCAAATACTAATTAGTCATAATTTTAAATTTTTAAAATGTGCCACTATCCTAGGTTTCGCCCGTTTGTCAGTAAGAATTTTTACTCATTTAAAACACAATAAAATTTAATATGCTCCCTTATTCTTTTATATATTTTAATATGTACACGTCAGAATAAGCATGTTGTCTGAATGTTTACATAAATATTATGTTACACTGAATGACAATGTAACATTATTTCAACCAAATTGTAACATTTTATTCTCCAAAAACGCATTTGAAACCTTAAAAGTAGACACTTTACTCACATCTAATGTGCTTTAATATGTCTATGGACATAAAATCACTGTCTTTGACCCATTTATTTTACATCAATCAAGACCAACGTGCTAGTGCTGATAAAAACAGAAGTATAAGCGCTGTTTAAGATCATATCAAAACCTGTAAGAGTGATCTAAAGGTGTCGGAGTACCTTATAGATCTTGAGCGCTTTGATTTTGCCGGTGTGTCGTACATGTGGCCCGCGGCACAGATCGATCAACGGGCCGCATCTACCAGAGGAAGAATATGAATGCATGACGGAAAGAGGCTTTATAGCATCCGTACGGAGAAAGCAGACGTCCTGCGTTACCTGTAGACGGTGGTGGTGGGAGTGGAAACCTTCTCATTCAGGATCCGACACTTGAACTTGTTGTACTAGAAAAATAAAAGCAAATGTTTTCATTTCATTTTCTCAGCATCCATAGAAAAACACTGCGACCAGGTTGATCAGATGACAATACCGTGGTACTATGATTTAACGTGATGTATAACATGGTACTAAATAAATACCATATTCATAAGCAATCTTAAATATGGTTTTTCGAACAAGAACATCATTAAAAAAAAAATGGTTGTAAATGTACGGTTTGCGTTTCATTTTTTCCCAAATTATATGTTTTCTGTTTTAATGGTTTAATTACATTTCATTTTTAATAATTTATTAAAATTGTAACAATAATAGGTCCCTATGAAATGTGCTTTATTCTTTCCCAAATTAATTTTTTTCTTATTTTTATTTTTCTGGATTCTGTTTTAATGGTTCAATGAACCAAAAACCATATCTAATCAATAGAATTTATAAAATTTGTAAAATTAATAATTTTTTTAAAATAATTTATTAAAATTGTAACAATAATAGGGCCCTATGAAATGCGTTTTATTTTTTTCACAAATTATTAAATTTTTTTCCTGAATTCCATTTTAATGGTTTAATTAAATTTTAATAACCAAAAAGCATATCTAATCAATAGAATTAATAGAGGTTTTAATTTAAATTTGTAATAATTTATTAAAATGTTATCAATAATAGGGCCCTATGAAATGAAGAAATTCTACATCCTTTGTTTTATGATTTAATACAAAATGATCAAACACGGTGGTAATCAAATGAAAAAGTAACAATTCTAGTGTAGAAATATTTTCACTCAGAAATTTCTAGTAAATTGCACAATTAATTACAAAGAAACACACTGAAATATATGTGCGATTTTTAAGTAGAAGGACTTTGTTTTATTTAGGGTTAGGGTTAGAAAATGCTTTTACAAAAAAAGTACTTTTTAAATTAAAACAAGAACGAAGAATTGTGATATTTCCTAAATAAATGTTTTAATAAATTATATTATCATTATTACTTTGAGAAGTACAGTTTACTGTACAACAGTAATATATTTCTGTAATAATTTCTTCAATTTAAACCAAGCTTTTATCTTGGCGGGTTGTAGTGAAGACTGTTGATGTGATGAAGTAACTATTAAAGCAAACGGAGCGATTCCTCACCTTAAACATCTCAAGCAGCGTCTCCTTACTGATCTCCAGTCTCTCAAAGGGCTGCTTGTCCTTCATGATGCTCCTGCAGATGTTCTCCAGATCTCCAAACTCTGTGCTGGACACTCCTCTGTGAACAAACAGCAGATACGCTGAGCTACAGAAGCTCTGCTCAGATCAGACGGACGTCGAACACCTCCACTCACTTCTGTCCGTCCAGGAACATGTCGTAGTAGAAGCCGTTCTCGATGGGCGGCCCGTAGCACAGGCATCCGCCGTAGAACTGCTCCATGGCCTCGCCGAGGATGTGAGCGCTGGAGTGCCAGTAAACCTGAGACACACAACAACATCTGTTCATGTACATTCAGATATACCTTCAGCAGTCAAGTATGGAAGTGTGGTGAGTAACCAACGGCCTGCGCGTCCTCGTGGGCGAAGCGCAGCAGCTCCAGACTGCAGTCGGTCTCCAGCGGCCGGTCCAGATCCCACAGCTCTCCGTTCACACGCGCGATCACACAGCTGTCCGCCAGAGCCTGACTACACACACACAAACAAACAAAACAACATCAACAACACTGGCATATGCAGCAGAACATTTAAGGCATTTGTAAGGCTGTAAATGTTAAGAGATAGAAAGATGTGCAACACCTTTCCACAAAATGGTTAAAAAAAAAACAGTAAGGCTTGTGTTGCAAAACATTAGAGTATGACAATAGCAAAGTCAAAGTCATGGGTTCAATTCCCAGGTAATGCATGAACTGATAATTAATGCAATGCATGTCGCTTTGAATAAAAGCATCTGCCAAATGTAAATATGAAACTACTAAATAGTGACAGATCTATAGATCTAAACAAATAAATAAATACATTTTTTATATAAATTTATTATTATTATAGTTAACTAAAACTAAAAGCATAAAAAACATTTCCATTGCTTCAAATAAAATAAACGAAATTTTAAAAAATCCAAAAGTATGAATATGAAAGTGAAACAAAGGGAAGAGATATTGATGGGTAGTGTATTATTTTGACGTGACGTGTAGCCAAGTGTAGTGTCCCATACTCGGAATTTGTGCTCTGCATTTAACCCATCCATTTTAATGATCTTATAAGCATTTGTGAAATAATTATATAAAACTATATTACCAGTACAATACACATCAACTTATTTTATGTATTTATTTGTCAATCTAACTAATGCAAACTGAACAGAAAGAGGATTAGGCTTAAAAGATTTCTTATCCTATGACTTCATCTGGTGGACAACCTTAGTATTACAGCCTTCATCTGTCAGCTGAAATGTTTGATAGTTTTACATTTTTTGTTGGCCCCTGAGCATTTTAAATTTATGAAACTAAGCATGTTTCCTCAGAATGACTTGTTCTCCATATGTAAAAAAGTTTAGAAGAGTTTGGATAATGCACTTTAAAGATACAAGAAAATTACTGTTTCCTTTTTTTACTGTTATTTTAATAAATCGCCATGGCAACACCGTTCAAGATATCCAAAATCCATTCACAATTTAGCATCTTCAGTATCTTGGCATCATGTTGGCACCAAGTTTGGTGTGAACTGCATGATTCTCCTAGGAGGAGTATGCAATAATGCACAGCCTGAATTTTCCAAAAATACACATTCAAACCAAAATAGCTGACTTCCTGTTGATCATAGCTAATGACTGTAAATTAGAAAGTTGTCCGGCTTGATGAAAACAATATATGTACTGAGTTTGGTGTCTGTAGGAAAAAGTAACCCCCCACTTTTGTCAAAAGGTGGCCCTATAGAGCACCTGCTCCACGTCCATTTATGAGCTTTTGCCAGTGTCTAACCAGGGGCGATTCTAGGATTTTCATTTTATGGGGGCTCAGCCCCCAGTGAGGATATGATAATAATAATAGCCTAATAATAATAAAATATATATATATATATATTATTATAAATTATATATTATAATTTATATATATAAATAAAATAAAAAATGTTTGATTAATAGGGGTCGTATACTAAACTTATTGCAGTATTCCACTATATTGCATAGATAGGTATAACATTTGAGTACTGAATAAGCCAAATTCAAGTCTTCATGATCTCACACACACAACTTGTTTACTGTACAAACACAAAATGTTACTGTTTGCATTTCCAGTACAACCCTCTTTCCTTAGCTCAAGTATGCAAACCTCTTTGCCACATGCATTGGATTATGTATTATATTGAAAGTCACATTTTCATGTGCTTCATTTTCGCAGGAGGAAACAGTTGTGGTGTGATGAGGGGTGAACACAGTGAAAACTTAGGCTACAGTAGATGGGGAACCGATTATTCCTCCCCCATGATATTTTGTAAACTGGATTTATGACAAAGAACTGCACAGATGCAATCTTTGATAAACACACACCTTGCCCTCTGTTTCTCGCGGTCTGCAGATTGAAAAAGAACGCCCTGAAAGACGGGGAGGAGCCAAAGTCTGCCACCGTTTTTAATATGAAATTTAAATGGGACTGAGGTGATCACGAATTCGTGTACAGTTTATGGAGCTAATTGCAAAATTTTAGGGGGGCTGAGTATTCATTATGTGACTACAAAAATAGCCTAGCGACACCCATGTGTCTAACTATCATGAATACTGATGTGTGTGTCGAGTTTCATGAAATTCTAAGCTTGCTAAGTGCCTTAAAAACACCTGTTAAGAATATTCAAGTTCGACACGTTGCCATGGCAACAGCATTTAAGATATCAAGAATCCCTTCGCAGTTTTACATCTCAAGTGTTTTCACATTATTCTGATGAAGTTTGAAGCAAATCGGGTGAAAATAAGCATGTGATTTCAAAGCATTTTTTAAAAGAGACGCACTTCATGCTGCCAGTTGGTGGCGCTATAACTTTGACTCATAATAGTCACAGCTATGTGATCGGCCTCATACAATGAACAAACTGCTGAAGTTTGATCAAAATCAGACAATATGTGCAAAAGTTATTAGACACTTCCTTTTTCTAATTTCTCGCCCTTAAATGTGTCGCCTTGCCACGGCCAAACCATTCAAGACATCAAAAATCCCTTCGCAATTTTGCATCCCCCATGTCTTGAGATCATGTGGACCGAGTTTGGTGGCGATTGGATGAAAACCCTAGGAGGAGCCCCCTAGGGGCTCGGGCCCTAAAAATAACAACTCATTCAAAATATTGATACTATAATAATATCTCATTCTGAACAACACTGATTTGGACTAATTTGTACCCTATTCATGGAAAGTGTCAATAGAGCTCCTCAAATGCATCATCTTGTGTCAGATTTCAGTTTCTTTCGTATGTAACATGAATGAGGAGTAAATGCTCTCACCTGATGGCGCAGGCCAGCTGATACGGGCTGCTGACCCAGGCTGTGGCCTTCAGCGTCTGTCCGTCAGGCAGCTGGACGCTGATGGAGTGACCGCCGGCCGCCCGCTCCGCCAGAAGAGCATCGCTCTCCTTCTTCAGCTGCTCATAAAGCTGTAAACGACCAGAGACGAATGCAGGCCACGGGTTCAGCTGCTCCGGTGCACGAGAGACAGAGAGAGTGGGGGGGCGATGTGGTCAGTATACGGTCTAATATGAGCTCTGAGAGCAGCTGAGCTGTTAAATGCCACATGAATGATGCTGATGCAATGACACAGCAATCACACTGACCACGTGTGTGTATGTGTATATGTGTGTGTGTATGTGTATGTGTATATGTGTGTGTGTGTGTGTGTGTGTGTATGTGTGTGTGTGTGTGTGTGTGTGTATGTATATATGTGTGTGTGTGTGTGTGTGTTAGTGCACCTCTGCCTTCACTTTCTCCTTGTTTTTCTCTTGAACATCTGATGCACTGGATCGAGACGGAGCAGCATTCTGCTGAAACACACAAAAACAAACACATTCAAACATTATGCAATATTGCTTGTGTATTAATGAACAGCACATTCATGCTTATTTCATTTTTTCTAATTGGCGGAATGTATACATTTACGCATTTAGCAGATGCTTTTGTCCAAAGCAACTTACTTACAAAAGAGGAACAAAGCAAACAATTTTTATTTTATTTTTGCTGGAAAGACTTAATGTAATAGAAACAGTATGTTCATATTCTCATTTACTACATGCTTTTAACTAAAAGGTTTTAAGACTAGATAGATAGATAGATAGATAGATAGATGATAGGTGACAGATGGATAGATAGATAGATGGATGGATGGATGGATGGATGGATGATAGATAGATAGATAGATAGATAGATAGATAGACCTTTGGACGGCTCTTCTCCTTTGGTTCTTCAGGCTTGCTCTGGCTCTTCTGTGTGTTTCTCCTCTGGTTCTGCTTCTGCTTCTGGTTGTGGCTGTGCTCCTCCAGCTCCTGCTCGGCTCGGAGACTCCGGCGGAGGTGCAGCAGTCGGTACTGGAGCTTCTCGTTCTCGGTGCGCAGCGCGTCCAGGCTCGGGCCGCTGGCCAGGGTGCTGAAGTCGAACCCGCCGGTCAGTCCGTCCCGCAGGCGGAGGATCTCACGACTCAACGCCTCGATCTGCTCCTCCTGAGCGGACAAACGTGCAGCCACGCGCTCCGCCATCTTCAGCCTCACAGCTGACGGCACCCGAACCGAGAACAGCGGAATGTGACCGGAAATAATAGATCCGGTGGTTCCTGCAGGAGGCGCTCGGTGGCCCGGACAGACGCGTCTCCTTTGATATACGTGTGTTTTATAAAGGTTTTTCAGCCTGTTCCTCTAATTGCGTGTAAAGATGAGGTCGAGCTGGTTAGCTGGTGTATGTACCTGTGGTGTCGAGCCGCCGAGGGTCGAAAGAGGCTAAATAAAATAATAATAGTAGCACATTAACGAGAAAAATACATAATGATTAAATAAAAAGTCTACACTATCAAATATAACTGACACATAAAGTAACAAAACAATCATTTACACCTAAATAATGATAGAAATAGACTTCACTAGTAATTCATCTTAAAACACAGTGAAGAATAAAAATAAATTATGCAAATATATTTGCATCCGGCCAATCAGAGGCAACGCCCCGCCCATTTTCTCGCTCTAGCGTTGAAGCCGCTGTCCGTTCTACGCGTTCTATTTATAACAGCAGCGTGACACATGAGATCAGAAACACACTTCAGTCATTTCTCTCCTGTGAAAGAACACAGAGCCGCAGTACATATAACAGCCTAATCTTGTCAACACTGACCAAAAGCTGTCAAACGTTTACAAACAATAGTGCACAGAGCATGCTTCAGGGATTCATTTTATTTCGTGTATACGTGCACGAATGAATCCACATCACGCTTATTAATTCATTTTTACCCCATTTCACATACTGGTAAAAAAAATAATATATATATATAGCCTGAATGCACTGTAAGTCGCTTTGGATAAAAGCGTCTGCTAAATGCATAAAGGCAAAGTAAAGTAAATGGAGGTGCAGTACCCGATCCGGCCGGCAGGTGACGTCAGTGCGCGGAAGTAAACAGACCGCAGCGCTTCGCATGCAAACACGTTTATGAAATGTATAATATTATATGATCATGAAATAAGTAATATATGACTGTCATTGATAAAGTAAGCAGCCCGTGGTTGAATCGCACGCTTGAATGGCTCTGATCAGGGCAGGAGAAAGCGCTGTGCTCGTGAATATGCTGTAAATATGATCGATTATCGATTGATTGATTGATGTTGGGTTCGGAATGGCTGCGGGTTTCGCTCCGCCGAAGCTCAAAGACTTTATTCTCACCGAGAAACTGGGAAGCGGCACATATGCGACAGTTTATAAAGCTTTCAGAAAGGCGAGTGATTGTTTATCTCTGATTATTGACGAATAGCCAGAAGCATATTATGTTGATTGATTGATTATTTACTTTCTTGTTCGTCTACTACTTTACTGTTTTAATTGACTGCTTGTGTGTTATTTATTTGAACGTTTTCTTCTTCCATTGAGTGGTGGTTGTGTAGCTCAGTGGTTCCCAACACTGGTCCTTGAGGCACCCCACCACGTTTTGCATGTCTCCTTTCTCTGACACTCCAGCTTCAGGTCTTGGGAGTCTCTACTAATGAGATGATGACCTGAATCAGGTGTGTTTGATTAAGGAGACATGCAAAACGTGGTGGGGTGCCTCAAGGACCAGTGTTGGGAACCACTGGTGTAGATCATGTGCAGGTTTTGATTGACAGATTGATTGGTTTCAGACTGACAGCAGGGAGGCGGTGGCTGTGAAGGTGGTCAGTAAGAAAAGTCTGAATAAAAGCTCAATGGAGAACCTGCTGACAGAGATTGAGATCCTGAAAACAGTCCGGCATGTCCTTGAGGCACCCCAACACGTTTTGCATGTCTCCTTTCTCTGACACTCCAGCTTCAGGTCTTGGGAGTCTCTACTAATGAGATGATGACATGAATCAGGTGTGTTTGATTAAGGAGACATGCAAAACGTGGTGGGGTGCCTCAAGGACCAGTGTTGGGAACCACTGGTGTAGATCATGTGCAGGTTTTGATTGACAGATTGATTGGTTTCAGACTGACAGCAGGGAGGCGGTGGCTGTGAAGGTGGTCAGTAAGAAAAGTCTGAATAAAAGCTCAATGGAGAACCTGCTGACAGAGATTGAGATCCTGAAAACAGTCCGGCATCCTCACATAGTGCAGCTCAAAGACTTCCAGGTACAAACACAAATAAAGATTCACATGCCTTTTAGGAACAATGTGTGTTTACTTTTAAATTGTAGTGTATTTAGATAGTTTAGCATGTGTGGGATGATGATGCATCGGCCAATGTGATATTATAGGAAATAAAATTATAGCACAAAATGTCAAATATTAAAAGAGGGGTAAGAAGCCCCCCTGGATAAGGTTTTACAGACTGTATAAATGACTTTTGATATAATTCTTATTAAATATTTATATACTTTCTAAAGTATCATTCATGTAAAATACGAAATCAGGTGTTCTATTTAAAATTTTACTTTGACAATTTAGTTGAATAATTGAATAACCAATGACAGACAAAGCAGAATCTGAAAGGTAGAATTATATACTTAGGCTTATATACAGGCATGTGAATATTTACATTTTTAATTGAAGATATGTCATAATAGCAACACTGTGAATGCAGCTTTAATGAGTTCACTCAATTAGCCTATAGTTTTAATTAAAGCAAAGATGTCTGAGATGTACATCTAATTTATGGAAATATTAAATAAGAACACCATTAATTACAAAAAGAATTACATTAAAAAAGAATAACATGCTAATTCTGCTGGCCCATCTTACCCCAAGGGCCTAATTTGATCTTTTTACTATTTTACCAAAAAAACAAACAAACAAAAAAAGCCTACAATTTTTACTCCACAAGTCCAAAAACTCTTAATGTGTCCACAAATCCCTCATTAACAAGTAGTCACTAAAAACTTTTATTTTTAACATATTGCATAGGTCACTATTTTCCAGAGACACACAGTTAGATCAGTTAACCTCAAAACTGTTTTGACTGAATAAATCTTTCAAATGTTATTCAGATAAAAATAAGAAAATGTAAAATTAACGATGTCGTGGCTCATCTTACCCCGCATTCCTCTGTCTGTCTGTCAGTGGGACAGTGATAACATCTATCTGATTCTGGAATGGTGTTCAGGAGGAGATCTGTCCCGTTTTATCCGCAGTTGCCAGATTCTTCCGGAAAGTGTCGCTCGTCGCTGCCTACAGCAGATCGGTACACACACACACAGACACTCTCACTCACACAGACACGCACACACACACACACGCACACACACATACACACTCGCACACACACGCAGACACTCTCACACACAGACACACACACACACACACACACTCTCTCTCACACACACACAGACACACACACACTCTCTCTCACACACTCGCGCACACACACACAGTCCGCAGTTGCCGGATTCTTACGGAAAGTGTCGCTCGTCGCTGCCTACAGCAGATCGGTACACACACACACAGACACTCTCACTCACACAGACACGCACACACACACGCTCACACACACACACACGCACACACACATACACACTCGCACACACACGCAGACACTCTCACACACAGACACACACACACACACACACTCTCTCTCACACACACACAGACACACACACACTCTCTCTCACACACTCGCGCACACACACACAGACACTCACAGACACACGCATACACACACACACACACACTCTCTCTCTCTATCTCACACACACACTCTCTCTCACACACACACACAGACACACACACACACACTCTCACACACACACACACACTCTCTCTCTCACACACACACTCTCTCACACACTCACACACACACACACACACACACACACACCCTCTCACACACACACACACACTCTCTCTCTCACACACACACTCTCTCACACACTAGCACACACACACACAGACACTCACATAGACAAACGCATACACACACACACACACTCTCTCTCTCACACACTTGCGCACACACACACACACGCAGTCACACACACACTCTCTCTCACACACTGGCACGCACACGCACACACACACTCTCTCACACACACACCACAGGATCTATACTGATGAAATGTGTGTGTTTCAGCATGCGCTCTTCAGTTTCTCCATGAGAAGAACATCTCTCATCTGGACCTCAAACCGCAGAACATCCTGCTGAGTGGAAACGTGCTGAAGCTCGCAGGTGAAACTTCACAACACGCGTGATTTGGGGAATCATTCGAACACTGCAGGACGAATCTGAACTTTCAGGTTTCAGCACATCACTATCAGCACTAGTGTTACATCACACACTGGCACGCACACACACACACACTCTCTCTCACACACACACCACAGGATCTATACTGATGAAATGTGTGTGTTTCAGCATGCGCTCTTCAGTTTCTCCATGAGAAGAACATCTCTCATCTGGACCTCAAACCGCAGAACATCCTGCTGAGTGGAAACGTGCTGAAGCTCGCAGGTGAAACTTCACAACACGCGTGATTTGGGGAATCATTCGAACACTGCAGGACGAATCTGAACTTTCAGGTTTCAGCACATCACTATCAGCACTAGTGTTACACTTGAAGAAAAGACCGTAAAAATGAGCTCTAATGTCCCGTATTCAAATGAAGACATTTTCATGATAGTATTTGATAATGATAGTAGTCTTGTTTTGAGAAATTGATCAAAATGAAGTGAGTTTATGGTTAAAACATAGAAAAATCAACTTAATTCAAAGGGAAAACAGGTTTCCATTCCCCAATGACAGATATTTGGGTAACACTTTATTTTAGGGTCTCACACACACACACACACACACACACACACACACACACACACTCACAGACACACACTCACAGGAATCCGGAATACAAGACAGTGCATGCAACATTTATTAAAGACTTTCTGCTCTGATTTAAGACCTTAATTTAAATGTTAATTTATGAGACTTTTTATTATCTCAAATGTTTTCTAGACTCGTTTTGTTCACGTCTGACGTCATTTGAACGAGTCTGATGTGATATTTTACTTCTCAGCATCTCATAATAAGGTGAATAATGGGTTGTGTGTGTAGATTTTGGTTTTGCGCAGTACATGAGCCCATGGGACGAGCAGCAGGCTCTGAGAGGCTCTCCGCTCTACATGGCTCCTGAGATGGTGTGCAGACGGCATTATGACGCTCGAGTGGATCTGTGGTCCGTCGGGGTCATCTTATACGGTGAGACACACTAATACCTCTAGATTTAGAGAAATAGTTCATCATTTACTCACCCTCATGTTGTTCTAAACCTGTATGACTTTGTTCCTTCTATTTTTGTCCACATAATACAAAATAATGGTCCAGTGTTGTGTTAACGCCAACATTCTTCAAAATATCTTAATTTGTGAAAGTCTTGCAACATATTCAGCAGCACAACTGTTTTCAACATTGATAATAATCAGAAATGTTTCTCGAGCAGCAGAGCAGCATATTATACTGATTTCTGAAGATCATGTGACACTGAAGACTGGAGTAATGATGCTGAAAATACAGCTGCGCATCACAGAAATACATTACTGTTTAACACATATTCACAGAGAACACAGCTGTTTTACATTGTAATAATATTTTTACATTTTTCTGTATTTTTATCTGATAATTGCAGCCTTGGTGAGCAGAAGCGACTTCTTTCAAAAACACTAATAAATCATTATTATTCCAAAGTTTTGACCGGCTGTTTGTGTGTCTTTTTGAGGGCAGAAGCTTTATTTGGACGAGCTCCCTTCGCCTCTCGCTCTTTTGCTGAACTAGAAGAGAAGATCCGCAGTGAGAAACCCATCGAGGTGAGAATTAATGACTCACTTGTGTTCACACTGCTACACAATGGAGTTTTGTTATAATAATCACCAAAAATGAATATTAGCTGAAAATTGCTCACTCTCAGGCCATCTAAGATTACGATGAGTTTATTTCTTCATCAGATCTGGAGAAATGTAGCACTGCATCAGTGTCTCAGCAATGGATCCTCTGCAGTGAATGGGTGCCGTCAGAATGAGAGTCCAAACAGCTGGTAAAAACATCACAAGTAATCACAGCACTCCAGTCCATCAGTTAACATCTGGAGAAGACAAAAGCTGAAACACATCTAGCATTAAAATGCTTTTAACTCAAATACATAGAGTCCATAATCCATAATAACTCTTCCTCCAGTGAGTCAGTGTTCTGGTGTGAATCAGGAGAGAAATCTGCACAGATCAAGCAGCGTTTAAACAGCTCTAAACACATATGTGGCTGGATTTTGATGTGAGAGACAACAGCAGATGCACTTTTTTTTATTGCTGAGACACTGATGCAGTGCTACATTTCTCTCATACTAAGGTACACCTGCATTCTCTCTGCACCACTAGATGATGTGGTTGTATCAGACATTGCCGTGATCTGCTCTCTGTGTGTTTAGCTGCCGCCCGGAGCGCGAGTTTCTCGTGACTGTCGAGATCTGCTGCTGCGGCTGCTGGAGCGAGACCCAGAGAGCCGCATCACGTTTGACGAGTTCTTCCTGCATCCCTTCGTGGATCTGGAGCACATGCCCAGCGCCGAGAGCCTCGGGAAGGCCGTGAGTGCGACAGAGCCAGCGCAGATGAACTCACACTAAAGCAATGCGCCCCGTGAAGCCGTGGTTTACAGTGAATTTATAACGGCTAAGGGGCGTTGTTAGGTAAATTCACTGTAAACCACGGCTTCACGGGGATTATTGCTTTTATAAAACGGTTATTCCATATACGTAGTAAGGTTTCACAAAATAAAACGGAGCAAATAAAGTGTAATGATATTAATAAACACAGTATTCTTCCACCAAACAATGTAGCGCCTCAGAAACAGTTGTGGTTGCTACAAAGTGGTTGCCGAGCAACACACAAACGTAAACAAAGGTGTGTGTTACTTTGTAGCGTCATTTACAACAGCTTTGAACGCGGCTCAGCCAATCAGAGCCAAGCACCGGAAACATCCGCTTTATAATAACACTTTTGTATATTGAACAAATGTATCTTTATTTTTACCCAGCCATTTGTTGAAGTGTGCACTTTTCTCTAAATGCATGTGTAATTATGACAAACATCAGATATACACTACAAACATTATTGTTTTCCAATCATAAAAATATCTAAAATTACTTGAATCAAGATACAATTACTTGAGAAGCATATTAAGAAGATATTAAGTCTTGTTTTCTAAAAAAATGTAATCAAAATCAAGTGAGTTTAAGCTTAAAGCTAGAACATTATCCTTCATCGAGATCAGAAAATTAAACTAAATTCAAAAGAAAAACTGGTTTTAAGCTTAAACTCACTTCATTTTGAATGTACTTTGATTTAAGAATGTGTAGATATTTGTAGTGGAAAAAACAGTACAAAAATACTAAGTAAGAAAGTCATGTTTTGCCGTGTGTGAACTGTATTTGTCCTCTAGAAAGCGCTGGTGTTGCAGGCGGTGCAGAAGGACCAGGATGGAGAGCGATCGGCTGCGTTATCTCTCTACTGTAGTGCACTCGAACACTTCGTTCCTGCCATTCACTGTAAGACACTAACGCCTCAGTCTCTCTGTGTTACACGAGTCCGCAGGGCTCCGCTTCACTCTCATCATCTCCGTCTCTGCACTTTCAGATGAGACGGACAGACAGAGGAAGGAAGCACTGAGACAAAAGGTAAATAAAATCATTTACTCACCATCATGGCGTTCCAAACCAGTGGGAACTGAGGCTCTTTAATGAAAAAGAAGCCATTATAAAGATAGTTCATAACACTAATCCAATGAATGAGAACAATAGATGTGACTCTTCATTTGTTTTCTTTCAGGTGAATCAGTATGTTTCTCGTGCTGAGGAGCTCAAAGCGCTGGTCAGATCAGACAACAAGATCACTTTTGAGAAGGCAAAATCAACCAGGAACATATTAATAGGTAGGCAGTACTGCATTACTGATTTCTAATATCTAACTCCTGGTTTGACATTCAAGTGTTTCGTTGTTCACAGAAATGTCCAGAGATCAGCCGCGTTTACTAACTGCCCTGGAAGTGGCGTCCACTGCTGTTCGTGGGAACTGAGGCTCTTTAATGAAAAAGAAGCCATTATAAAGATAGTTCATAACACTAATCCAATGAATGAGAACAATAGATGTGACTCTTCATTTGTTTTCTTTCAGGTGAATCAGTATGTTTCTCGTGCCGAGGAGCTCAAAGCGCTGGTCAGATCGGACAACAAGATCACTTTTGAGAAGGCAAAATCAACCAGGAACATATTAATAGGTAGGCAGTACTGCATTACTGATTTCTAATATCTAACTCCTGGTTTGACATTCAAGTGTTTCGTTGTTCACAGAAATGTCCAGAGATCAGCCGCGTTTACTAACTGCCCTGGAAGTGGCGTCCACTGCTGTTGCCCAGGTAATGGTCATGATGGCTAATTTGCATATGCGTCATGTGAGCTGCAGTGTTGCATGATGGGTGATGGAGTTGCGATGTGTGCAGGAGGAGAGCGGCGCGGAGGACTATGACACGCTTGATTTATACCAGCAGAGTCTGGGCGAGCTGCTGCTGGCGCTAGCAGGTAAATGTTCATTTGTATTTTGTAAACACAGGTGTACGTTTTATATATGAAGCCTAGCAACCATCAAGAACACCTTAGCAACCACCTAGTAACAACTTAAAATACCATACCAACCACCAGGCAACAGCCTAGCAACCATCAAAATACCCTAGTAACTGCTTAGCAACGGGTGTGAAAACTCAGAACACCCTAACAACCACCTAGCAACCATCTAGAACACCCTGGCAGCCACCCAGTAATAACCCAGAATACCATAGCAACCACTAAGCAACAGCCTAGCAATATCCCAGATACCCAAGCAACTGCTTAGCAACAGGTGTAAACACTCAGAACATCCTAGCAACCACTTAGTAACAACACAGAATACCATAGCAACCACCTAGCAATAGCCAAGCAACCACCTACTAATAACCCAGAATAACATATCAACCATCAAGCAAAAGCTTAGCAGCCATAAGAATACCCTAGCAACTGCTTAGCAACGTGTGGAAACACTCAGAACACCCTACCAACCACCTAGTAACAACACAGAATACGATAGCAACCACTGAGAAACAGCCTAGCAACCATCAGAATACCCTAGTAACTGCTTAGCAACGGGTGTGAAAACTCAGAACCCCCTAACAACCACCTAGCAACCATCTAGAACACCCTGGCAGCCACCCAGTAATAACCCAGAATACCATAGCAACCACCTAGCAATAGCCAAGCAACCACCTACTAATAACCCAGAATAACATATCAACCATCAAGCAAAAGCTTAGCAGCCATAAGAATACCCTAGCAACTGCTTAGCAACGTGTGGAAACACTCAGAACACCCTAGCAACCACTTAGTAACAACACAGAATACGATAGCAACCACTGAGAAACAGCCTAGCAACCATCAGAATACCCTAGTAACTGCTTAGCAACGGGTGTGAAAACTCAGAACCCCCTAACAACCACCTAGCAACCATCTAGAACACCCTGGCAGCCACCCAGTAATAACCCAGAATACCATAGCAACCACCTAGCAATAGCCAAGCAACCACCTACTAATAACCCAGAATAACATATCAACCATCAAGCAAAAGCTTAGCAGCCATAAGAATACCCTAGCAACTGCTTAGCAACGTGTGGAAACACTCAGAACACCCTAGCAACCACTTAGTAACAACACAGAATACGATAGCAACCACTGAGAAACAGCCTAGCAACCATCAGAATACCCTAGTAACTGCTTAGCAACGGGTGTGAAAACTCAGAACCCCCTAACAACCACCTAGCAACCATCTAGAACACCCTGGCAGCCACCCAGTAATAACCCAGAATACCATAGCAACCACCTAGCAATAGCCAAGCAACCACCTACTAATAACCCAGAATAACATATCAACCATCAAGCAAAAGCTTAGCAGCCATAAGAATACCCTAGCAACTGCTTAGCAACGTGTGGAAACACTCAGAACACCCTAGCAACCACTTAGTAACAACACAGAATACGATAGCAACCACTGAGAAACAGCCTAGCAACCATCAGAATACCCTAGTAACTGCTTAGCAACGGGTGTGAAAACTCAGAACCCCCTAACAACCACCTAGCAACCATCTAGAACACCCTGGCAGCCACCCAGTAATAACCCAGAATACCATAGCAACCACCTAGCAATAGCCAAGCAACCACCTACTAATAACCCAGAATAACATATCAACCATCAAGCAAAAGCTTAGCAGCCATAAGAATACCCTAGCAACTGCTTAGCAACAACTGTAAACACTCAGAGCACTCAGGCAACCACCTAGTGAGAGCCTAGCAACCATCCAGAACACCCTTGCAACCACCTAGTAACAACACAGAATACGATAGCAACCACTGAGAAACAGCCTAGCAACCATCAGAATACCCTAGCAATTGCTTAGCAACAGGTGTAAATACTCAGAACACCCTAGAAACCACCTAGCAACAGCCTAGCAACCATCCAGAACACCCTAGCAACCACCTAGTAACAATACAGAATACCATAGCAACCACCAAGCAACAGTCTAGCAACCATCAGAATACCCTAGCAATTGCTTAGCAACAGGTGTAAATACTCAGAACACCCTAGAAACCACCTAGCAACAGCCTAGCAACCATCCAGAACACCCTAGCAACCACCTAGTAACAATACAGAATACCATAGCAACCACCAAGCAACAGTCTAGCAACCATCAGAATACCCTAGCAACTGCTTAGCAACAGGTGTAAACACTCGGAACACCCTAGAAACAGCCTAGCAACCACCTAGTAACAACACAGAATACCATAGCAACCACCCAGTACAGTACACACTGGTGAGTGAGTGTTGGACAAACATCACTGACATTTTTTCCTGAAAATTAAAAATGTGGTTCTTCATAATCTGATGAGCGTTATAGAAGACGGCGCGGTGGAGGGACGTCAGGCATCCAGATGTGGCGGTGAGTGGTTGCCAGGTCAGCGTGTGTGGTACGATCATCTCGCTGCCATCTGGATCTCATTGAGAGCAGCTCTCTTCATTCTCAGAGTTACTAAATACTGAACCAAATGAAAACTGTTATCTCTCAACCTCCTCGAGAGCTCCAGACCCTCCCCGCTCCCAGAGCTCTGCTGGATTCCCGCATCACTGCAGGGTTTTTTGGCCGTTACGCACCCGATGTTGATCTGTTACAGTGCTAATGCCAGCACAGTGTGCAAGGGCTCAGTGTGCAACACTGTTTAACAGTTAGCGCAGGCATCTGCAAGAGATAATACGACTGGTTGTGGAGCATTTCTCGATTACTCGGTTCATTCTGCTGCTCATTGGTAAGTTAAGCATAAGGGTTTGTTCAGATCACTAAATAAATATTCAACTGTTGTGCTGTTACTTTACCGATAAAGAAACGGACAAAAACAATCCCACCGATTTACACTGAAGAAGAGACTTTATTTAATACTTTCATTGCGCTTGCAACTACATAGCAATGTGCTAAAACCCCCACAAAAAACCATAACAGCATAGAATCATGTTAAATCCCACTCAGAACACCATAGCGACCACATAACAATGTGCTAAACCCCTCAGAACACCATAGCAACGTGCTAAACCCGCTAGTTACTCTCTGGAGGTTTAAAAGCAGAAGTCTGCATTCGTCAGTGTTATCATGTGTGTATATATGTAATGTATGGAAAGTGAAGCCGTCCGCAGGGGTGTGTGTTGTTATGAGCTGATATGTTTGTCTGTCTCCTGCAGGTGAATCTCAGGCCCGGCGCAGAGAGCTGCTCCACAGCCAGGTGAGAAGATCACGATTTATGTGCTTGTGACATCTGAATCAAACCCTGAGTGCTCCATATGTCATTATGGGCTCATGAACCGCTGGCACATGACTCATGCATCAGACGCAATCTGCACAAAAACCACATTCCAATATCAGAACTTTAAAGGTGCTGATGTCATTTTTTCATGCTAATTATGCTAGAAACATGCTAACAACATGCTAAAACAAATGCTAGCAACATAGTAACACGTTAATCATGCTAGAAACATGTTAGTCATGCTAGCAACATGCTAATCATGCTGCAAATGTTAACATGATAATCATGCTAGAAACAGGCTATCAACATGTTAATTGTGCTAAGAAAATGCTAGCAACATGTTAATTATGCTAGAAACATGCTAGCAACATGCTATTCATATGTTAAGAACATGCTAGCAACATACTAACATGTTAATCATGCTAGAAACATGCTAATCATGCAAAAAATGCTAGCAACATGATAGTCATGCTAAAAATATGCTATCAACATGATAATATTAATAGATACAACTTTTGATTTTAATAATGCATTAGTAAATGTGTGAATCAATATTAACTAAGATTAGTAAATACTTTAGAAGTATTTTTCATGGTTAACGTTAACAAATGTATAAACAGAATAACTATGTGTGAAATACGCTTTTACACTCACTGGCTTTGGTTATGTGTAAATTGACCCCTCTCTCTCTCTCTCTGTCTCTCTCTCTCTCTCTCTGTCTCTCTCTCTCTCTCACACACACACACACACACACACACACACACACTCACTCTCTCTCTCTCACACACACACACACACTCTCTCTCTCTCTCTCTCTCTCTCACACTCACACACTCTCTCTCTCTCTCTCTCTCTCTCTCTCTCTCTCTATCTCTCTCTCACACACACACACACACACACACACACACACTCTCTCT